AAATAAATTTATAATCAAAATTCTTTTCTACAATTTAGCCTTTTTCTAATCATAAATATTAAAAACTGGAAATTAACTGTGCTAAATTTCGTCGTTGATTGTTCACACATTTTTGGAATATTGAAATACCATTTGGTTTCGTCGCAAAAATGCCGGAGGCACAAATATTTGCAATATGCCAAACTTCATATGATATAGATGTGTAATTATTTGACATTAATTATTTATTATTATTGCATCACTCGACTTGCTGTTCTGCACTTTTAATAGTCTTAACATAACTTGGATTGCACTTTTTCTAGTTTAGGTTAGATTTTGTCACAAAGTTATACATCGTTGCAACAATGTTTTCCATTCTGCCTGTTACGTAAAAATGCACGAAATATTACGCGGAAGCCTAAACGAATTTTGCTAACACCTGTATGCACCCGTTAAAGAGCTTACAAACTTTAAGCGCAAGTCCCGCTGATCAATACTTCGTTCCTCTCATCTGTTTTCTGAGCACCACGTTATTCATACCTCCCCAACTGGAATAACTATTGCAATGGTAGCATTATAATACCTATTTGTGCGATCTTTTTCATTTTTTTTTCAAAAGCACGAGGAAGCAATATGTACGCTTAGTTTCAACGAAATTACTAAGATATTAATAGAATTACTAAGTAATTAGCAAAGTTACTAAATAATTAGTAAAGCAAGTAGTAGTAGTAAGTAATTAGTGGAATTCTATGTAATTAATAAATTTATTAAGTACTAAGTAAATAGTAGAATTACTAGCTATATTATTAAGTCGATAATAAATTTATTAATTACTAATAAATTAGTAGAATTACTAGTTAAACTACTAAGTAATTAGTAAATTTATTAATAACTAATCAATTACCNTTTATCTCAAATATCACTATAAATTGCACTTTCTTCTAAATTGTATCGAAACACGGTAAAACTGCGTTTCATTTATTACATGAACATTTTAGGTACCCAAAGTTGCACTTTTCGTTACTGCAACATTAATACCCCACAAAGTGCTTCACTATACATAGATTTATGGTCCCTACTCTGGTAAAAGGCTCCATGCTCGCTCGTTTCAATAAACAACCCCTTTTACAGGCTCATAGTTTACGAAAATTCGTGCAGGTTTCGAACGAAAATTGAACATACGTTCGAACAAAAACATTGAAATTTTATTATTTTAATACCAGCAATATTAAATTTCGTTATTAAAAATCACGCTTCACCAATTAATTCGGCAAGGGTTTCGTTCCGTCTAGGTGCAACAACCAAACATGCATCATACTTTCCTTGCATCCAATTCAACTTCCAATTAAAACGGAAGATACTGTTGCAATTTAATTTTCAATTAAAATTAATATCGCGTGAATCTTTAAAATCGCGTGTAGTTTCTTCATAAATGAATTTATTGCTTCGATTAAAACAGTACATACACGCTGAAAAGTCGACAATGAATAGATACCGCGTTAATCAAAATTCTTTTGCAATCATGCAATTAACCGTACGTTTTTACAATTGCAACGATATCTTGGCCATGGTTCGACCATGTCCGCGCAAGTATACATTTCTCCATAAGAATAGAACGAGCTGTCCTATTCTATTCAAGTCTCGATTCGCTTCGAATTTTCCATACATAATTCATGGAGGAGCAACGGACGAGCAAGATGATTAATTCGCATCCATTTATAATGACATTTTCCACGGCCGTGGTTGATATTAAATTGCCCCGGCATGAATCATTTCGCGAGGCCACGATGGCGATGTCTGAATTAGAACCCGGTTGCGATATGCGATCCAAGAGAGAAGTCGCGTCGCCAAGGACCAACGGCCTTTAATTACACGAATTTCGCAGGCCTAATTTCGTACGCGCCTCCAATTACTTACCCAGCTTCGTTCCGGCCGGCTATAGCCGGTTACGTCACTAACTTCGATTAAATTAAGTAAGCCTGCTGAGATGCCACCTAATTAACTCCCGTATCTCTCACTTCGCGCTTCCCCTGTTTACGGGACTCCTCCTTCCACGAATTCTCTCGTACAAAGGATATTGTTGATCGTGCGATATTTACCGCTACGGAAGTGTACAGGGTGGTCCGGGCGAACGTTTCAGGCGATAGCTCCGTTATTAAACTTTTAGGTACGGCTGAATTCTGCGCGAGGCTATTTCTCTGATATATACTGTACAGAGTCTGATACTGTATATCCTGTGTCTGTATATACAGGGCGTCCCAAAAAAGTCTCGCAATCCGAAGCGGCGGGTTCGTCGGGCCATTCGAAGCAACTTTTTCCTTTACAAAAATGTTCTCCGAGGCACCGTTAACGAGTTATTAACGAAAAACAGTGACCAATGAGAGGCGAGCTCGGCTGGCGCGAGGCGACCGAGCCAATAAGCGGAACTGGGCTCCGCGCGCTGGTTGGCTGGGCCGCCTCGCGTCAGCCGTACTCGATTCTTATTGGTCACTGTTTTTCGT